AACACAACACATTTCTGAGACTTGGCTGGCAGCAGTCACTTCGTTCCGGGGATGTGAGAACCAGTTGAGAATCACAGCACAAATGTGCGAGATGTGTTTTGGATCGCAATTAACTATGAGCAGTAATTAGCTATGAGCAGTAATTAAGTATGAGCAGAAAGTAACTATGGAACTATTGAACTCTGAACAGTAAGGATCAATAACATTAAGTAACTATAATTAGTAAGTATCTATAAGCAGTTACTAACTATGAATAGCAAGTATCTATGACATAAGGATGTATGTATGATCAGTTACTAACTTTGAACACTAGTAAACAATGACTTGCAACTTTTGAAACACAACACATTTCTGAGACTTGGCTGGCAGCAGTCACTTCGTTCCGGGATGTGAGAACCAGTTGAGAATCACAGCACAAATGTGCGAGATGTGTTTTTGGATCAGCAATTACTATGAGCAGTAATTAGCTATGAACAGTAATTAAGTATGAGAAGAAAGTAACTATGGAACTATTTAACTCTGAACAGTAAGTATCAATGAACATTAAGTAACTATAATTAGTAAGTATCTATAAGCAGTTACTAACTATGATAGCAAGTATCTATGACAATAAGATGTATGTATGATCAGTTACTAACTTTGAACACTAGTAAACAATGACTTGCAACTTTTGAACACAACACATTTCTGAACTTGGCTGGCAGCAGTCACTTCGTTCCGGGGATGTGAGAACCAGTTGAGAATCACAGCACAAATGTGCGAGATGTGTTTTTGGATCGCAATTAACTATGAGCAGTAATTAGCTATGAGCAGTAATTAAGTATGAGAAGAAAGTAACTATGGAACTATTTAACTCTGAACAGTAAGTATCAATGAACATTAAGTAACTATAATTAGTAAGTATCTATAAGCAGTTACTAACTATGAATAGCAAGTATCTATGACAGTAAGTATGTAGTATGATCAGTTACTAACTTTGAACACTAGTAAACAATGACTTGCAACTTTTGAACACAACACATTTCTGAGACTTGGCTGGCAGCAGTCACTTCGTTCCGGGATGTGAGAACCAGTTGAGAATCACAGCACAAATGTGCGAGATGTGTTTTTGGATCAGCAATTAACTATGAGCAGTAATTAGCTATGAGCAGTATTAAGTATGAGAAGAAAGTAACTATGGAACTATTTAACTCTGAACAGTAAGTATCAATGAACATTAAGTAACTATAATTAGTAAGTATCTATAAGCAGTTACTAACTATGAATAGCAAGTATCTATGACAAGTAAGTATGTAGTATGATCAGTTACTAACTTTGAACACTAGTAAACAATGACTTGCATCTTTTGAAACACAACACATTTCTGAGACTTGGCTGGCAGCAGTCACTTCGTTCCGCGGATACAAATGTGCGAGATGTGTTTTTGGATCAGCAATTACCTATGAGCAGTAATTAGCTATGAACAGTAATTAAATATAAGAGAGTAACTATGGAACTATTTAACTCTGAACAGTAAGGATCAATAAACATTAAGTAACTATAATCAGTTAGTATCTTTAAGCTTTAAGCTTTAAATAAATATATGCTGCCATAGGAAAAATCGGAAAATTTTAAGAAAAAGTATTACAACTTTTCCAGTTTTCAACTGATTTTCATTAACTTTGATATAAGGGCCATATATAATAATCTAGAATTTGTGTAAAATTTTATAAAAATGTGACGCCTATAACATATAGCTGCCATACAAACAATCGTTAAAAATTGAGTAAAATGCAAATCGGCGAATGTAAGACAGTAATTATAAAATGTATAGTTGAATGAAATGAAATCAGGCATTACTTTATTGTTTTTTTTTACATAAATATATATAATTATAGAAACACAAACACAGCGTGCCGAAGTTAGCTTCCTTTCTTGATTTATGTTATTGAGGGCATTACAAGTGTTATATTACTCATCCGACATGTGGAACATTGAATTATATTTTATAAAATTGTTTAAGTAATATTTTATGATATATAAGAATTTCTATGCATAAATTTAGATTAAATTTGTAAACCTCTCCTGGCTTACCCATTTTCCCCAGTCATTCGAATATTACTCATACGCCATGATGTACACATTTAAATACTATCCTGGCGGATTATCATGCTCTTAGCTCTCGGAATGACTTCAGTTCTTTACCTTTATCTGGCTGACACTCAATTTTGTTTAGACTCTCTAAACCCTCTCTACCCCCCTTGACTCTACTACGTCATTGCTGGCAGTAGATTATTGTGGCCTTAGCAAATTGTTTGGTGATAAGCGCGGGAGCAGCTCCAAGTGGCTGAAATAAATTTCAGGTGCCCAGGGGGACACCGAAATGGCACGTGCCAATGGAAACGCTGTTGGGTATCTGCTGGCGGTATCTGGGGTGTGACTTTCCCAAGTGGAGAACGATGTTGCTGCCAATCCTGCTAGTTGCACGTATTAATCCCCCCAAGTCCTGCTTGCTGCTTTTCCCCCCAAAAGGAGAGCGAGTCCTTGGCGGAATGCAACGAACCCGAGAGGAAAGCTCAGTAAAAGTCGCGTATGAAAAGCGCAATTAGGATTATACTGTGAGTGCGGTTAGCAGGGAACCAGCCGGGGCATCTCAGCAGCTGGTCTAGCTCAGCTTTTGACCCAATTTCGGACGTCACTAAAGGAAAGTCCTAGATGTTGATACATGGAGAGAAATAAGTGCTGCAAATATATAAACTTATATTTACAGAAAACGAATGACAATTTTACACTTTCACCATTTTTCTTACTGTTTAATTGCTCGTTAAAGAACGTAGTGAAACTAATACATAATTTCTTTAGTACTGCATGTTATGTATTTAAAAATAATTATTAATTTGTACTTTGATGGTTTATTCTTTATGTAATTACATTTTTTACATATACTACTTAAAGACTTGAATTTTTCTTTCTCTCCAAAGAAAATGGTACAAGAAACCCCAGCTACATGACAGCAAAGACTTTTCACTTTCCTTTGGTTCTGCTGGCGGCGCATTAAAATTCCATTAAAGTCGCCGGCGGCAGCCTAAGGACACGGACACAGACATTGGACATGGGACATGGGACATGGACAGTAAGCGTCATAAATTCCACACCGATAACGCGGCGTATGCGCAATGTCTAGCAATTTGTTACCAGTTGTGAGATGCGAGGTGAAACCAAGCAATCATCGTCAGCGGCGAACAATTTACAATGTTTGCCATGTTCCTTAGATAGGAGAAGCAGCAGCAGCATCGCTTTTCCAGCATTGCATTCCCTCGCTCGCTGACACTGATAATTCACTTGGCGATATATACACCATCGTGTATGGCACACCCGCACACACACACACACACACACACACACACACACTGCTGTTTGAACACATCGTTGACCTATATTTGGGCATCAATGAAATGCGAGCAGATGTGGCCAACAAAAGCAGCGCATTTTCTATGCTATTTATTGAGTGAGTTGAGTAAAAGCTTCAACTAGCCGCTTCGCTGGAGAAAAGCTTCTGCCTTATCACTCTCTCTCTCTTTTTGTCTCTCTCTCTCTCTCTCCGATGAAGCTTTGGGACTGGAAGAGAAAGCTGCTATTCCCTAAAAGGTGAATTTTTCAAGAGATAAGATTATTTAGTGCTGAGGGCTATCTACATTAAGTAATGGGGAATAATAATGAAGAAGCTTAAAAAATATATTTAAAGTATTAATACATAAAGGAAAATGTCAAAATAATTTAAAGTCAATTTAAAAATAATAATGTAAAGCAATATGGAAAAATATAAAGTAAAGTAAAGTAAAGTAAAAGTAAGTAAACATATAAATTGGAACATGAAAGGAAGCTAATTTCTGGAAGACAAAGATTTATACCCTTGAAGTTTGCAATAGAATTATAGGATCAAATCGGAAATCCATTTTAACTAAGCTTAAACTATTTGCATTCTTTGAATCCATATTTTTCGATATAGGACTATTTTATCGATAAATCCAAAACTAAAAACTAAGCCAAAAATAATTAATTTTAATTTGAAAGCTTGACTATGTTTGTTTTTTTTAGGTTTATAAATCTGCAACCTCAATAAAAAATGATAAAAAAATGAACATTTTTGCCAATTTGTGAAAATTTTAAAATTTTGATATTTTGAAAAATTTTCAAAATTTTTCTTTTGACTTTACATGACTAGATTAACTTGGCAGTTAATGCTGATCAAGAATATACATGATTTATAGGATCGGAAACGACTCCTTGAACCGTTACAAGCTACTGACTAAAATTATAATACTCTGCAAGGGTATAAAAGGAAATATATATTTAATGTACAGTACAAAGATTAACAAACTAAAAATACTACAAGTACTATATCTTTAAATTATTTCCATAAAGAAATATAACTTAAAAATAGTAAAAAATATAAAATGACTAGTTAAGAAGGCAAATATTCTCCCAGAAATATATAAATCCAACAGCTGACTTGCTAAGGACTAAGATATAGAAGACACTGCCAGAAACTGATGGGACTCGCGGTGACTGGAAAGGGAAATCAGCTGGAGGAGTCCAGAAAGAGTGAAAAGCGCTCGAGTTGGCCAGAGAGATGGGCAGAAAGGGTGTCAATGGAAATGCTCGGAATGGAATCTTATAGATACACTCGTTCTCTCCGAGAGTTTTCCTCTCACACTTTTCTCGAGGGAGAATGACGATGGCGGCTAGCGGCTGGCAATTTTCAATCCAGTTCGAGTCAGCCAGCGGAGTGGACGTCATCCTTTCAGTGTGTTGTTTTCACTCTCTCTGGAGATACTCTCGCGCGTCGCGAAGTTAATAGTGAAATCGGTTTTAAAAATTTTACAAAAAATATATATAAATTTCAATTGAATCAAAAGTGAAGAATATTGGAAAATTGAGGAAAATTCCAGTAAATTTGATTACATTTTCGTCTCGCATTTGGTTGGCATTTAAAATGCCATAAATTATTTAAGGCATTTATTTTGATTCAGTTGTTGTTGCTGCTGCTGCTTGTCCCACAAAAACAGAAATTGTTTGCCCTCCAGGAGCGACAAAAACAACGAAGAGAGAGAGCACTGAGAGCCGACGGAGAGCCGAAAGGGAAGCCGAGGCACTCGGGACACCCAAAAACATCAGAGACGCCGAAGCTCAGTCAGTCGCGTGAGTGCATTGCATCTGGCCGCACCAACGCAACGCATCTCGCATCCTCGAGATACATCCGCATCTGTGGGACACATCCGGATCTTGAGATACAATCGCGAGTGCAAATTGCAGCGGCCGCTTGTCAATTAATTGAATTCCAAATCCAAGACCATCCGAGAGTTCCCCAAATCGGTGGCGGAAAATTAACACAGAAGCCGAAGATTTCCACAGATTCAGCTCAAAGCTTTTCTCACCTTTTCCTGGTTACAGGTGAGTGCCATGACTCCTCGGTTAAATGCCGAAGGGAAAGGTGTAGAGCTGGGTCCTTTATGACCTATTTGGAAGTGAAGGGCTTTAAATGCAATTATTCGGCAAACCACAATGGATTTTCCTAAACCGAAAGTAATTAAGAATTTAGAGAATTAGTCTAAAAGAAAACTTCCTGCTTTAGAAAACCCAAAATCTTTAAGCTGATTATCTTTAGAAGATTAGGGCAAGGTAAATGTTAATTTATAGTTATCAGTTGTTAACATTATAAACAATTATTTTAATGTATCTGAAAAACTATTTCATACTTCGGAAAATGTAGTAACATAAAGCCCAATTTATATTTATTATTACTTTAAGGTTCTTACTAAAGGCTCTTAAAATATCTACATTTATTACATTTAAATTCTTTAGTCTACATAAACATTTTCCCAAGACAAAACTTTAGCTAAAAAGAAAATGTATCAGCATGAAAATACTAGAGAACCCTAAACTTAGTTTTCATAAAATATAAACAAAATGTAGAAGCTAAAAACGCAAAAACTTGAATTCAAGAAAACTTTAATGGATTTGATTTTTGCCAAGACCGATGCAAGACTTTTCCTTAGTTTCTTTGTTGATTTCCACTTGAGAGCTGAAAACCCACTCCATTCGCTTGGGAGTTCAACAACTTTTTGTAGGAGCTTTCCACAACTTTGGCTCAATTCCGATTGCAATTTGCCAGCAATTCAGAGTAAATTTCATGTTCGTACCAGCATCCAGATTGCATGCGGGAATGATTATGAGCGCATATTACGCATACGCCCCGTTGAACAAAGGCGGATAGGGATGCTTGACTATATCCCAGACCATTTACCCTTTTCGTTAATTTGCTGAAATTGTCCCTAATGAGACAGTTAAAAGGCAATCGTCAGTGCAGTTCTGCTACCATTTATCCTTATTCATTCATTGAACGGAACCCTTGCGAAATGCGCTTGGCTAGCTTTGAATGTCTTTTCATTGCGCTCACCATTTCAATTCGAATGCATTCCACCGAAGGACATCTGCCAAGGCAGAAGGACTACCAACAGTCCAAAAGGAGGCCTTTTTTGCCTTGGCAGTACATTACTCAGTTTATGGCCGGATTATAGCCGTAAACCATTTGGAAGTTGGAAGCGAAACCAAGCCGGCAGGCAGCTAATGCTTGGTTCTCTTAACCATTCTAAGCATTTTGCCCAAAGGGCGACAACACAAACCAAAGAAAAGGAAGCTGGATTTCCCCAAAATAGACACTTGCTTTATTTTTACACTTTCTATACACTGGAGAAAAAACCGGGAAATATAAATAGGGACAGATAGAGTTGAAGTGGTTTCTTCAAGCTCAGAAGGTCAGCATTGTTATCACATTATTATACTTAAATTTCTCAATCATTAATGTTTTGAATAAATAAAAATAACTTCAAGACTTTCCCTCTGTGCATGTCCTTTAAGTTACCCATTTTCTTCACACTGTTAGACCGGAAAATACAAGAAAAGATACAAAAATTGTTGGTAGCTGTGAAAGGAAATTCAATTTGTTTGACCCATAAGGATATCCTTTAGGCCTTAAAGTCTTCCCGTTTACCTTTAGCTCTTTGCTTTTCCTTCAGTGCATATCAATTCCCTTAGTTAACCCCACACAAAAGCGATTTGTTTTCCGAATGTTTTCCCATCTTATGTTACGTTTGCTACTTCCTAGTTTGTTGTGTTCTGTGCAAACATTTTTATTTCGATTGTTCGCTTTTTTCTCATTTGCTGATTTGATTCTCATGTTAATTTTGATCGCAGCGACGGATCGATACTTTTTTTATGAGCGGAGATAACATTTAAGTGCGCCCAAGTGTCGCCTACCATATTTCCGAAATTTATGCTAATTATGCAAACGCCTCTGCTGGCAGCAAACGCTGCGTATGCGTAATATTTTCAGCAATATTTCCAGCAAATATTTCCCTTTTGTTTTGACAAAGACAACAAAGGTCGTAGAGTGCGTGTGTGTGTGTGTTTTACTGAGATTTCCTAGGCACTGAGTCCAAAAATAGACAACTGAGCTCATGGATTGAAGGAAAAGTGGAGTGGCACTGAAGTCAAAGGAGGAAAAAAAATACTCTCCTTTACCATATTGAAATCCAAGAAGTTGCCTTGTTGAGGCAAAGTCTTGATTTCCGAGCGTTTTGATTTGACAGGACGCCCATTACTCATGACAATGGACCATCTTAACCCGCTCCTGGCCCCCACTTAACCCCACGAAGCTCCCTTGTATCGATAATATATTGTCTGCGCTGATTTATGCGTCGTATTCCTCTGGAAATGTTTATTTAGAGCCCCTTTTGTTTTTGGGGGTGTTGGAGAGCCAGGGAATTAGTTCATTCTGCCATGTTGTTTGGCCACGCCCCGTCGCTCACTCCGCCCCCCGATTTGATGCTTGCTTTCTGTGTGTGTTGCTTTCAATTTGTTTGTTTATTTCACTTTTCCAAAAAGGTCAAAGTTGGCCACATTTTCCCTTCGCCCATGCGTGTTTGCAAGTGTGTGTCTGTGTGTTTTTGCGAGGCGTTTTTTGTGGGTGTGGGCGTGGCACTCGAAATTTTGTTTATGTGAGCTTCTCTGGCATTCATTAAAAGTCCAGCCAACGAGCCTGGAAACTTTGAAGAGATTATCGACTCGGCCGGTCATAATATTTATGGGGCGGCCTGCAAAAAAAGGTCAGGGTTTGACCTTTGAAAGCAACCAAAAAAAAAGTGGGCCCAATTTTACAAATGACAATAACACATGATCTGCGATAAGAAAATTGAAATCAAAGACAACACACCCTCGAGGAAATATTTTCTTATCGACAGGGGCGGGGCCTGACATTTTACAAATGCCAGCAATAAAATTAACTTAAATAACGTTTATTCTGCGCATCGAATTTCACTCGCAAGGCGGTTGTTAAAGCCAGGCGATGGAAAGTAGGGGGAAAAAGTGGGGGAGGCAGCCTTGTGATGGTAAATGACTTTGACAAGCAGGCGGAAAACTCGTGAAGAGGGTAAAGGAAAATTCTGGGAAAAATCAGAGAGTAGCTAGTGAATACTCTTTCTAGTTGAAAGTGATTGCTGCTCTTTAAATTTCGATTATAAATCTATTTTGTTTTATATAATTTGTACATTGATTCAATATATATTACCAAAAATTTCGAGATCCCCGGAACAAGTGTTCCCCTCTTCTTCTACATATATTCCTTATACCCTTATGTATATCCATAGTAAACTATATTTTTATATAGTTATTTTTATATGTACACTTAAGGGTTGCTCTACCCCCTTTGGCACTTGCATTATAGGGAATGGAATCTATCATGTGTGCTCTCATCATCGATATGACAGCTCTCCCCCAGCGACGCCTCTTGGGTGAGTTATTATAACCTCAAGGCAATTCCCCTTCCGTCGTAAGTCGTGGAATATGCAAATGCTTCTTGTGTCAACTCATTGACAGCACACGGCAATATAATTCAAATTTATGTGAACCTGAAATCGTTGCGAATGTGCAGCGTTGGCGAAAAAAAAGTGGTAAGGAGGCGGCTCATTTGCATCCCTTTTGCAGGAAAACTAATTATAAAGTTGCACAGGAAGCTTTGTTTCAGGGGAAAGGGAAGGAAATTTAAACTAAACTTTAAACTAAACTTTAAACCAAACTTGAAACCAAACTTTAAACGTAACTTCAAACTAACTCAGAAATGCGCTGCAAAGAAGGCAGCACTTTTTGCTAGTTGTCTTGATACAAATCCCCATAAATAATCTTTAACCAGATTACTGCTATTTAAATCGATCGAAATAAGTTTGTAATTAATGTACAGGGAATTCAACTGTTCAGTTATTCTTTTTTTTTTTTGCATATATCTCCTCGAGTGAACAATTACGAATTCAATTAACAATCAATTTGCATAACAAACGAGCAATGCAAACAATTAAGAGTATACATATTTGTTTGCACAAATATGTTTATTTATTTAATTGTACGACCTGAACACATACTTATATACACACACCCGCAGGGTAATCCTTCTAGCAGGGCTAGCACGTGTGTGTGTGTGTGTTTGTGGATATTGGTTCGACATGCGAACAACTTCCGTTTCCGGTGCTCGAAACTGAAACACAAATCATATTTCCGCTTTCCATTGGCAGCTCCTCCCCTAAATACAAAAAAAAGGCGAGACCGAAGCGGTTATGTCAGGTAAATGGCACAAATTTGCTGCCAATTTGCGACTAATTGCGAACAGCACAAAACCTCCCAAACAATAAGCACACACACAAAAACACATTCGTTTAATTGCAAAATGAAACATGGTGCTTGCATTTGAAATGCGCATTTCCGGTCCAGTATGGTACGCTTCGCTTCCCTGTTGCACGGGGACAGTTTCATTTATTCATTAGCTAGCCGGGGCCCAACAACTTTCCCCGGGGTGAGAGTCCTCTTTTGTCCTACTTTAACCCAATCCTCACAAAAAAATAAGCAAGGGGAAAAGCAAACAGAAAAACCTCAGCATGGAGCTTTCAACAGTTGCCGCTGCAGGTGGCAACTTTTCACTCTGTGCTCGATGGTTGGGTGGAAATAAGGTAATACACAGACATCTGTATAAACAGAATGTTGAGGATTTTCCAACAAATAAAATATATTTCAACTATAATAAAGAACTATGCTTGATTATGCCTAATAATTAAAGTTAATTGAAGTTATTAGGAAGTTTTCTTTGATATTTATTGAGCTATATCAAAATACTATATATATTTCTATATTTACTTTTCCCTAGTTTCTCTTTGTGTAACATTTTGTGAAAAAACAGCCGAGTTAAGCAGGTGAGCCGCATTTTGGCGACATTATTACGATGTGCGGCGTTGTTGGTTCTGGCCATGTTGTCCTGTCATTGGCTTAACAGCTAATGGACTCAAATGGCACTTGCGGTGTCCTCTTCTTTCCTTCGTTCTCATTCCTCCCCCAAGGATCCTGGTTTC